CCAAAAAAATAAATAAACGTTAAAAAAAAAAAAAAAAACATGAACATGTGCACATGGACACATACACAGTTAGACCCATCTTTGCCTATACACCCCTTATTTAAATGGCGATTTCTGGGGTGCCTGGATGGCTCTGTCATTTAAGCATCCAACTCTTGATTTCGGCTCAGGTCATGATCCCAGGGTTGTGGGACTGAGCCCTGCGTCGGGCTCCACCCTGAGCGTGGAGCCTGCTTGGGATTCTCTCTATCCCTTTGCCCCTCTCCCCTGCCCACACACTCTCTCTCTAAAATACAATATGATACCATACGATATGATACGATAACGATTTCTTTGTTCCTCTTAGCAAAGGGAAGTCATTGCAAGGATCTTAGCCCTACTTTGCCATTTCTGGCTGTGGCCTGATGGCTACATGGCTTCATCTGTTCCCTGTGCAAATCCCAGCTCCACTACTAGGAAGCCGGTAGCCGGGGGTGAGTCACATAGCTGCTCATAACCCTCTAACTTACTCTCCTCAGCCCAAAACAGAGGTGGTCACAAATGACTTTTTTTTATAATTTTTTTTAATGTTTGTTTTTGAGAAAGAGAGACCGAGCACAAGTGGGGAGGGGCAGAGAGAGGGGGAGACACAGAATCCGAAGCAGGCTCCACGCTCTGAGCTGTCAGCATAGAGCCTGATGTGGGGCTCGAACCCACGAGCCATGAGATCATGACCTGAGCTGAAGTCGGATGCCCAGCCACCTGAGCCCCCCAGGCACCCCAAGGAAATGACATTTGTGAAAGTGCCCAGCAAAGCACCTTGTACAGAGTAATGTTCGGAAATGTTAGACTCCCTTCGGTGACTTCAGCTGAATCTTTAGCGATTGCACTTCCAGATAATTTTCTATTTGCTTTGTGTGTTTCCTTTCACCCCTAAGATGGGTGATGGTGGGGAGTGGAGGATGCTGCCTGACCTTTGTCATGACACATACAAGCTGAGCTTGCTTCCGTCTTCTCCCCAGACACAGAAGGGCAAGGCTGAGAGCCTGGGCCTCCCATGGTTGTGTAGCAACACAAGGAAACAGCAGCCGTCCTCTGCCACTGCTCCCACCCCCAGGGCCCCCAGAGTCCCAGGTGGAGCTTAGGGACTTTCCACATACAGGCCGGCCTGGTAACCACAGCAGCGATAGCAGTCTGCTGGTACCGAGATCTGTTTGGCATTCTTGTGGGTGATCTTTGGAGAGGATGGATAGGTCTGCACTTCAGGAGCCCCTTTCCAGAGGAAACCCTGTGCATTTGCCTTCATGGTTCGATGGAGATCTTCAGCAGTGCTGCTGCCTGCTTGGCACATGGCTGTGGAGATTCTCCAATCTTTTCTTCTTCTTATCATGTTCTGTCTCTGTCAACCAGGGAAAAGTCTCTATAGGAATGGTTCATTCCATTGCAGCCCATTTTGCTTCTGTAGCTTATTAGTAAGTATTCAGGTTGCCCACCAAGTCCTACATCTCTGGGTCTGGTATTAGGAGCTTATAAAAGACCTGTTGACTCCACCCCTCCCTCCTAGCCCTGGTCTGGTTCCATGTCCATAGAGTTGCCATGATGTTACTTTTGGTAACTCCTCATGTCTGTGTGGGTGAGCCCCAGACTTGGCCAGGAGGCTTCCTATCTACTAGTACCAAAGTGGGCACCACAAACAGCCTGGCTTCCTGGGGTTTTGAGGACTGGAAGGGCTGGAGGCTGGTCAGGCCTGTCCTGGGGAAGGGGGTGTCCAGTATCCACTTGAGATACTGAGCTTGAGCTCATTCCCTCACTGAAGGCTGCTTTCTCCTCAAATTGGGTTTTTCTAATCCTTACATGCCACACAGCTCCCAAGACTGAGGCTTCTGGAACAAACCCTTGTCACCTACTTGGGTTAAGACTAACAACACAATATACTCACCCATTCTCCACTTGGCGAAGTATGGTTTCCTGACTAGAGCCCCTGAGAAATGGGGTTTGGTGAAGCCAACTCCATGGTCCTCATGTTAAACAGATAACCAGGAAAGCCCTCTTTCAAAAAGTAGCTTCATCTCTGTGGGATTTTTTGACACATCACAACTTCTCATACTCTTACTGCTTGATACCTAGCAAAATCCACCAGGCTGACTGTAAAAACGAAAATTTCATTAAACTGAGAGCTAGCCACTCTCAGAGGGCATTGGCTGGCATGGGGCCATGGTGACTATATGGCCTTCTGGCCAGATGTAGACATCTGTTTGTAAAGAGAAAGACCTCTGCAGAGCCCTACTGAGAACCTCTTGGGGGCTTGTCCCCACACTGTTCCCCAGAACACATGTAGTAAGGGCAGTGGAAAAGGCACAGCCAGCTCTCCACTCCTGCTAGAGATGGCTGTCTGGGTCATTGACACTGCCTGGGCAGTGTCCTGCTGGAGGCCTTTTACACTCCTCAGCCAACTCTGTGGCTCACCTTGGTCTTGGTTCTCCTCTGAGTTCATCCAGGCAGACCTAAGGCCAAGTTAAAGGGGTCAAGGGTGAGGTCCCCTCATTCCTTCCTTCCACTAAGGCTTACCCAGTAGAGGACATTCTCAGGACAAGAATCTACCTTGCCCTTTCCCCATCCTCTGTTGATTATCCAATGATACTCAGGAGAATGAGAATTTGGCAGGAATTTCAGTATGCAGTATGCAGCTATAATATTTATTAATAGTGTTATTCTGGTGTGATTGAACTTTCTCTCATGCTCTGTTATGCTCAGCCTTTCCTCTAACCAGTGGTTCTCACATTGAGGTCCCAGGACCAGCAGCATCTGCATCACCTGAGAACTTGTTAGAAATGCAAATTCTTAGGGGTGCCTGGGTGGCTCAGTCGGTTAAGTGTCCGACTTCGACTTCAGCTCAGGTCATGATCTCATGGTTCATGGGTTCAAGCCCCACATCACGCTGTGTGCTGATAGCTCAGAGCCTGGAGCCTGCTTCACATTCTGTTTTCCTCTCTCTGCCCCTCCCCCACTTGAACGCATGTGTGCTCTCTCTCTCTCTCTCTCAATTATAAATGAACATTTTTAAAAAATAATAATAATTTTCCTCTTCAAATCTGGATTCAGCTACTGTTGGTTAAGGACATATTATGCTAGTTATTGTCTCATAGACTTGAGTGATCTGGTGATATGGGTACTGTTATCCCCACTTTTTTTAACGTGAGGAAAAAACTTTAATTAGGTAAGTATACATGGGAGTTTACAAAAATATCAATATCATCCCCATTTATAGATAGAAAACTTATGCCCAAGGATGTTAAATTATTAACTCAAGGTCATAGGGCTAGAAAGTGGCAGGCAGAGGTGCGATTTGAAGCCATATTTCCTGACTCCAAATCTAGGATTATTTCCATTCCATCCAATGAAGGAATAGAAAAATCTCTCTCTCCCTCTCCCTCCCTCCTTCCCTCCTTTCATCTCTCTTTCTCTCTCTCTCCCTCTCTCTCTCTCCCTCTCCTCTCTGTCTCTCTCTCTCTTCTCTCTCTCTCTCTCTCTCTCTCTCACACACACACACACACACACACACACACGATAATACAATATACGACTAACCTCTAACAAGAGTGAAGTGGACCAGTGCTTTGACATATTTGAATTATCCCATTCTGATGATTTTGAGTTCCATAAGTCTCATACCATAGAGTTTGATTACCACCTGTTTTTCATCATCTCTGCAAAAGTGTGTGACACAGAGTAATTGTGTCTTCTCTTAAGGATAGCTTCATTTTCATAAACCTCCTTATGATTCGAAGGAATGTATCTCTAACAGTGGAATTTGCAGCAACTCAGTGGGTAGGGGGGTAGATGGCAGAGGTTTTTTTTTTTCTTTGAGGTAACAGAACAGTCCAGGAGTAGGTATGGCTTTGGGTGAGCATTCTCTTGTAATTATACCCCTATATAGCTGCTCAGTTTGGCTGACAAGTCTTGGTGTTCTTTGTTGTCATTGATCTCCTAGTAAATGAAAGAGTGTCTTGTGAGATCCTTCTGGCATGTAGGAAATCTCCCATAACCCATTCAATACTAAATTCACTCGAGGTAAAAGGTTTCAACACTTGTATTAGGTCACTGGTTAAATATTTCATGTTAAATCCATATAATGAAATAATTTTCAGTCCTGGTCTCAAGCGACCGTACTTCAAGTGTCAAATAGTCAAGAAGTTCTAGTCCCTCCAAATCCCCAAGTTTTCTTGGGGTAGGCCCTGAGGTTTGGCTGTCAGAATTTAATGGGCCAGGGTCATGAGGACAGGACTTTGCTAGGAAATGCACACTCATAATTGTAGAGTGTCAGCCAAAAGCTAGAGCAAATAAAAATCTGAGATTTACAGGAGAAAAAAAATCCCCTTTCTACTCAGAGGTCCCTGGAGAGACCATGTCTTAGCAAAGTGCTATTCAGAGAAAAATTATGCAGAGGAAGCTGAGATGTAGATAATGCACATCCCATCTCTCTGGTATAGACAGAAGGGATAGGTCCAGACACCTCCTAAGCGACCTTTCTGTGTTTCTAGTAAGTAAAATAAAGGAGGAGCCTTTCCCTGATTTTGAAGTCATGGTTACTCAGTTGGTGCTTCCCTGAATTAATTTTGCTTGCTTTTTATTCAAGCCATGAGAAAATAGTTATCTTTTTGTTTTAGATTGGGCTAGCATTCCTAAAGTGTCTCAGGGTTGGCTTTTATGAAGGCAAAAGGGCATCAACATGTACCTGTTTTCCTTGCTTCAGGCTTTCTGTAGTAGAGTCAGGGAGAGGATTTGGTATTTGCAATGTCATTGGGGTGGTGGAGAATGCAAAATTAGAACAGCTTCACTCCAGTGCCAAGGAAGTATTTGCCAGCCGTCAGACCCAAGTTTATGAATATAACACTTTGATAACATAGGAGAGTGCTTTTTAATAAATGCTCTGGTAAGAGAAAAGCCTGTTTTGTTTTGTTGTTGTTTTTTCTCTTCTGGCTAGAAACTGTCTAGTTCTTCTCCTCACCCCTCCCCCCACCCCCTGTCTAACTGTTGAGAATGCATCGATGCTTTGTTTTGTGGCCAGAAGGTTCCCTACTCTTGTCTCTTATAAATTTTGAAATATGCAGCATTATGCCCAGAATACTATGTAGCAGGAAAATGTTACAATGTAGAAAATGATTGATTCCCCTTTAAGAAGTTCTAAGATGAAAATGGGTCTTGGTAAAATAGATCTCAAAGCCATGTATGTATACTCCAGAAAGTTATGTTTAAGACTACAAAAATTGAAATTATATTTTAATTTAAATTTTCTCAAATGAGAATGCTTTATGCTTTTCTACTAGAGAGAATGCACTTGGTTCCAGAGTACAATTCTAGTTCTAGTAGATAGGGCAAAATGGGACGTGAGACAGGCCTGAAGGAGTTAATGCTTGTCTGGCATTATTCTTAAACAAATCAAGGCCTGGCTGCCGCAGTAGCCTGTCCCCTGGGGCTGGGAGCCAGCACTAGCTGCATTGTTTACTCTCCACCCACTAAGATCTCGATGGTGTGATGTAGAGCACGTGTGCCTAGGTTTTGGATGCTTAACACAGAGAGACCCATTTGGTGACTCACCCTGAGCACCGAGAAGAGAAGCTCGGCAGCACAGTGGGGCTGGGTGGTTAATGTTGCTCTCCCTTATGTGAACTGGGCAGGAGCGGCTGGAGGCGATGATGCGTCGGTCCCTGGAGCGCACACAGCAACTGGAGATGAAGAAGAAGTGCTCGTGGGGAACTTCACTGGCCACAGGGCCTGGAGGACGTGATGGTGAGTGTAGGGCTGTCCCTGCATTGCAGGGCCCAGGTGGGAGATCATGGGGCAAGCAGGAGACCGTGGGCACACGCTGGTGCCCACGGGATCTGGGGCATGCTTTGTAGTTATCTGCAGGTACCTTTATCAGCTGTGATGCCAACCTTCCTGTATATGTATTTCTCATGAAGGGGGTCTGTGCATTATTTTTGCTAGCAAACAGCAGTTGATACAGTAACTGGGATTTTTGAGGTAAAACAAAAGAAAAGCAAAGAAAATGAATGCAGAGCCTGGTTAACCAGATGCACATGGCAAGCCTAGGTATACTCTGATTTCAGGGAAGGTCAAATGGCAGTAGCCTAAGTCACTACTGCAGTGTGACCCAGAAAGGCTGAGCAGCGGTTACCCTCCAAAAGGGGCTGGGGCTTTTCCCTCCTCATTATTAATTTTTGTTGCTCTTTCCATTTTGTTTCAAGGTGACTTATTTATTTCATTTTCCAGTTCATACTCATCTTTAAATTTTCAAGTGCTTAATGTAATGTGTGGATTGTTACTAGTCTCTGGGTAGCTTTTCCCTCTCCAGTGCCTTCTTTACTGTGATTTTGTCATTCTGTTACACAGGAGTTGTATATTAGCTTTTTCTGAAAACAGATGGATTCCATTTGTAGTACAGTTTCTTGACTTTGCTGTATTGTGCTTTTACCCTCTGTCAGTGAATATACTTTATTTCTTTTGGAGAAGTCAATAACCTATTTCAGTTACTTTTTCTAATTTCCTAGTTAGAAACTAAACTCAACCAGAAATTGGGACTTTTTTCTTTTACCTCTCTTTGCTCTGATTTTTTGCTGTGTAGGTGAATCAGAAAATACCCCACCCCCTCCTCTAGGTTTAGCATCCAGCACCCTTCCTCCGGACCCAGGGACCAGTGCCACCGCTGCCGAGTCCACCAACGGTATATCTGAGCTTCACCGCACCGTGGCGTTTTGTGATGACTGTACTGATCATCCTCCTCCATCACCGTGTTTGTCTCAAGCACTCTTACAGTTGATTTCTTAGACTGACCCCTTAGAACTTTTTTTCTAGAACTGTGAATGACATGCCCATGTTTCTTTGTTCCTCTGTCATCGTGGAGCTGTGCATGCCTTACACCCTAGTGCCCTGGAGACATTTCATCCTTAGCTCACCAACTGCTGCTTGAAAATCTTGTCAGTGTTTGACTTATGTGCATTTAGATCTTTAATACTCTCACTAATTACTGGTTTTAGGCATGAAGTAGTAAGGTGTTTCAGTCACTTCTGGTTACCAAAACCTGTGCCCTTAGAGAGTTCTGTGTGTTAATGTGATAGATTCCTGGAAGAGGTGTTTGAGACAGAGTGGTAGTGAGTTTATCGGTACCAGTACTGGAAATCTAAAGGAGATAAGTTTGCTTTGTTTTTGATTTACTCTATCTAATAGGCTCTCTGTTTTTGGATACAGGCCTGGGAAATTCTTAGTGCCTAGAACAAGAGCAGAATTGGTAAAATTTTGCTTCCATTTAATAAAGACTTTAGAAATTTAATCCATCTTTGACTGGCAAAGAAAAACAAGATGTAAACGGGATGCAGTATTTATCAGCAATACAGAAGGTCAAGTTACAGCAGTAGGAATAAATATCCTTGGCTTCCAGCATTCCTTTGACAAAGAAAAATCTTTACTGGTGTTGCTGAGCAGCAGACACTTTGCTGCATGGGCCAAGTTAACTGTAGTGTGGCACTGGTCTTTCCTTAACAGAGAGGGGCAGTAGGTAGGAGTTGATAATTACCCCTTGGGAATCACACGCAGGGCTTGGGCCAGGGCGAGGCAAGCACAATATGTGACTTGGACACACAATTTAAAGCATTACCAAAGATCTCAGTTATCGAGATGAATTAATATTTGAATAAATCTAAATGCATAATAATCCATGATGAACAAAATATCCAGTTTCTAAAGACGAGTACCATACTGAGTCAGCCATAATGGAGCCTACAGCAAAAGGGGAAATGTGTACCCTTTTACACTTGGTTTTATGTAATTTCTACTGGTTAATTTTTTTTTCAGAACATTGAAGTACTCAGAAAAAATGCTGAAAAATTGAGTAGGTCTATTAAAACTCACATCATTTAAAAAAAATTTTTAATATTTTTATTTATTTTTGAGAGACAGAGCATGAGTGGGGGAAGTGAAGAGAGAGAGAGAGGAAGACACAGAATCTGAAGGAGGCTTGAGGCTTTGAACTGTCAGCACAGAGCTCATCACGGGGCTTGAACTCATGAACCGCAAGATCGTTACCTGAGCCAAACTCGGACATTTAACTGACTAGGCCACCCAGGCGCACCAAATCTCACATCATTTTAAATTTAAATATTTTATTTATACCAAAATAGAATTTATTATAATTTCACTCCAGCTTAAGACAATTAAAAATTACTTAAGATTGTCATTTGATGAGGACACATTGTAAAACATGGCAATTTTCACATTTGAAAACAGTATGAGGAGAGGAGTACATTTTGAAAATATTATTAATGAGTTTGCTTCCTTTAAAGCCAAGGGCATACATCTTTCCTTTTGCCTCAGGCTTTGATAGGGCGTGGCAGGGCACTATCAGCACCTCTTCATTTGCTATAATGGTTTAATTTAGAAACCAGTCTAAAATAAAATAACGGCTGCAAGTTAAGAACACCAGATCCCAGATCATGTGTTAAAATCCTAACCATAGTCACAGCACTAGAGAAAGGGCCATTGTGAACCCATCTCTTGAGAAGAGGAAGAAACCAACTGCTAAAGGTGGTTCTGCTTTAAATACAGCTTCTTGCAGTACACATTACTTCTCTCTCCAACCTGAGCCTATAGATAACTGTCAGAAAGTCTGGTTTCAGCTCAGTCTCAGACCATAGAAAATTTTCCAGTGGTGATTTGTCTCTGTGTCTAGACTGGTTTTGTTTTTGTGTAGTCTGAATGTGCTTAAAAGTCCCTGGACACAAGGAGTTGATTTGCTGGTGGGATTAGTGTGGCTTTAGTTGAACAGTTGAATGAGGTTGAACATTTGAAATTGAAGAGAAGATCCTGCTTCAGACTGATGACTGCCGTGGCCTGGGCATTTCCAGATAAGCTAAGTATGTAGCAGGATGATGGAAGAAGTGTGCTGTGCCACAGCAGTTTAGGAAACGTGTGGATGAGGACAGGAAGAACACTTTGGGATATGTGTTTCTCGATCTACAATGGTGTGAATACCAATGTCTTTAATGCGTTTCTCTGCAGCATGTGACAAACTTTCAACATCAGCCATGAATTTGCCAAAGCAGACGGAGCCTCCCATGAGTAAGCGCCTGTCTTCATCCACCGTGGCAATATCCTATTCCCCAGACCGAGGCAAGTGAACATGTAGACCTGGTCTCTGTAGTTTTCCTCTTTTCTAGTGTGAGTGTCTTAACATCGGTCTTTGTGAGAGCCCCTCGAGCCTCCTGCAAATACCTCCATTATCCTAGCCTTGTGGTCTGAATGTGGGAGCCTCAGGACCTCATTTAATGGGACTTTGGAAAGTGGCATCACTCTTTAGAGTCAGATCGTTGTTGAATAGGTGCAGGAATTAATGATATTCTTTCAGTCTGAAAGAGACTATTCCATTTTCTACAGAGCATGTAGGAGTTATCCTGCCCTAGAATTAATTGACCAGTGGGCAGAGAAGACCGTTAAAAAAGTAACTGCCTGGTTATTGATTGATGTGATCTAGTTGATTAGCCAGAAACAGCAGAAGTCATCAGGCTGAGGTTCATGGAAAACTTACAGGTATGAAAAAAATGGGGCTATGCTATTGTGTGTGGTTTGTAGGCCTGCCCATTTCTGTTTGAAAACAAGTTCAGAACTAATATGAAGGCTTTAAAAGGAGAAAAGGATGGGTGGCCTGTTCTGGCCCTCATTTTGAGGTGGAAGATGGCATGTGTAGGACGTGTGCCGGTTCCAGAAACTGAATAGATTTAAAACTGCTCGTGTTCTAATTGAGGCTCAGATAAGTCACTAAAAGAGGAACTTACACCTTCCAGAGTATATAGGTTAGGGAAGAGAATGATGCTCTCCATGCATTAAATGTGTATTTTATTTATTTATTTATTTAAAAAAATTTTTTTTAATGTTTGTTTATTTTTGAGAGAGAGAGCGTGCATGGGGGAGGGGCAGAGAGAGGGAGATACAGAATCTGAAGCAGGCCTCAGGCTCTGAGCTGTCAGCACAGAGCCCCATGTGGGGCTCAAACTCACGGACCGCGAGATCATGACCTGAGCCAAAGTCGGTCACTTAACCGACTGAGCCACCTAGGTGCCCCTAAACACATATTTTAAAGCATTATTGGAGAAGAGTCAGGTGCCAGTGAAGTATTTAACAGGTCAGGCATTACCAAAGGGCAAGCAGAAAAGGGGTTTTGACTTTGAATAGGCCAGTGTGCCTTTCTGGTTGTTTTTCACTGGCATTGATCTTGCACCTCCAGCACAGAGGCTGTCAGGTCAGAAACCCCATAAGTGTCAGTGTTGCTGATCTCTGATGCAGTTCATGGGTGAACTGAATGCTGGAAACCTTGAATTAACTGCGAGGTGAATGAGAAAACATCTACTTGCTCTTAACTCTGTATAGCTGTTCCATAGTGAGTGTATTCCATATGTTTTCATTAATTCACAGGGTTACGTATTGGTGTTAAATTCATATTTGCAATGATTACTATGTAAAGATATCAGTATGTTAGTACATATTCTTGGCAACTGAATTATCTGCTTATGGATTATAAATTGAAAAATTTCAATTCCCAAACCATTTACTGGATAATGGGTACCCCAAAATTCAAAGTAATGGAAAAGTTAATTCATTACCATATAATATATTCCAAAGCCATCCAGGGTGACATTTTGGTTACTGAATTTTAAATTATGACTACTACTACTTCCATTTAAGCTGATAATGAGTTGGCTATTTTTATTTTTGTAGTTCTTATTTATTTTTTGCCCTTATTTACATGCAAAAAGTATGAACAGATGCATATTTATACATTAACAAAATCGGTGTGTAATGAAATGTTTTTTAACAGAGAACCTAAAGTGTTTCGTAGGAGTAATCTTTTTTTCAATGTTAGATCTACTAGGTGAGTAAATGGTTTCTTGAGTCCATATTACATCTTGGGAGATGGGCTAATTCTCTTCACATGATACAGGTAATATTGTAATACTGTAATAGCATACTGAATGAATTCTGGCACCCTAAAAGAATTACCACACTCTCCCAAACTCCAAATGACACGTCATTTGTTTTATTTTAGTATAATGAACTCCGAAGCCATCCTTTGCTAGAATATTTTTATTTTCCACATTCATTCTGCCACCCAAAAGTTAATTTGCATCATTCTCTGTGTTGTTTTAAACATTTTATTTTGTTTTAATTTTGCTTTTTAAAATTTTCATTTGATTCCATCCCTCAGCTCATCGCACACACCTTAGTCCCATGGAAACCTTTCTTGTTATGCGACTGTTGACTCCCACACAGGCTTCTTTAGCCAGAAGCAGAAGTACACTCACGCTCTCTGAGCAAACCAGTGACTCAGGTAAAAGAGGCCAAGCTGGTGACACTGAGAAAAGTGCCCAAAGTGATGTTGGTTGATCTATGAACTATTCCTGAATTTTTGTATTTTGTTTCCCATTTGCTTACTTTGTGAAATGTCTTCAGTGGTTAATCACATTTTCTACCCACCAGTGTTTTGCTGTTGCTATGGTTGTTTTTCTTTTAAGTGTCACAGAGGTAAGTAAATTATTTTATGATTGAGGGCATGTGGATTAGGGGGAAAAAATCTATTTCATGAGCTGTGGAGGTGAGTACACTTTTTTAAAGAGTGATTTGGCAACGTAGCCTATAAACCACAATGTCTGGAATACCATAACCAGATTTACCACTTACTAGCTCTTTCCACTTTGGGTAAATTCATTAACCTCTCTAAGGCTCAATTTCCTTATCTATAAAATTGAGTTACTTTAAACTGTCATGAGAATTAAATGAGATAGGACAATGTTTACAATAGTAAGAGATCAAATGTCTAGAGCCTTGCTACTCAAAGGGTGGCCCATGGACCATCAACATGAGTATCACCTGGGAGCTTGTAAGGAAGACAGATACACTGAAGTCTGAGAAATTCCAGGCCACCCTATGAAAACCTTTTCTTGACCAAATCGGATCAAATTGTCATAGCAAGATTAATGAGGGCTGACATTCTCTGTTTGCAGATTAGCAACATTGTGTCCACATTAGGGCAGGTGTGGTCTTAGTTCCCAAGATAGTGTATTCAGTTAGATGACATAGACATGACATATAATCCTTTATCTACTTCTGATTTCTAGAAGCAACCTACTAGCTTCTGAGTAATTGTGCTATTTCTCCAAAGAAGATAAAGAAATGGCCAATAAGCATATGATAAGATGCTCAACATCATTAGACATTATGGAAATATGTGTCAAAACCACAATGAGATACCACTTCACACTTACTAGGAAGGCTAAAATTCAAAGAGAAAAGGAAAAATAGTAAGTGTTGACAAAGATATGGAGAAACTGTAACCTTCATAAATTGCTGGTGGGAATGTAAAATGATGTACTTGTTTTGGAAAACAGTCTGGCAAGTTCCTCAAAAAGTTAAACATAGAGTTACCATGTGACCTAGCAACTGGACTCTTAGGTACAGGCCCAAGAAAATTGAAAACACACAAAAACTTGTACCTGAGTAGTTCTTAGCAGCATTATTCATATTAGCCACAAAGTGGAAACGACCCAAATGTCCAAAAGATGAATGGGTAAACAAAATGTGGTATATCCATAAAATGGAATATTACTCAGCTATAAAAAGAAACGAAGTACTGATACATGCTATGTGATGAACCTTGAAAACATTATGCTCAGTGAAAGAAGCCAGACACAAATGCTACAAATTCTGTGATTCCATTTATATGAATTGTCCAGAATAAGCAAATCCAGAAAGACAGTAAATTAGTGGTTGCTAGGGACTGAGGGAATGGGGAAGGGCAATGAATGTTTAATGGGTACAGGGTTTGTTTTGGGGGTAATGTTCTGGAATTTAACTGTAGTTATAATTGCACAACTTGTGAATATACTAAATACCACTAAATTGTGAACTTTTTAAAGGATAATTTTGTGGTACATGAATTATCTCTTAAATGGAAAAAATGCCTGAGAAGTAGGAAGGTCTCCCTTTTGAGAACAAGGAATGTGTCAGGAAGTCCTCAAGACCACTTGAAGGGTCAGTGATTCTCTAGGAGTACTCCCAACTATGATTTATAACAGTGCAAGGCTACAGAACAAAATCAGCAAAAGGAAAAGGCATAGGATAAAGTCTGGGAAAGACCAGGAACAAGCTTCCAGAGTCCTCTTCCACTGGAGCCACATAGGGCACATTCCCTCCGCAATGAGTTGTGACATGTATGAAGTGTTACCTACAAGGAAGCTCATTAGCGACTCACTGCCCAGAGTTTTTATTGGAGGATGGTCACGTAGCTACCCCCTGCCTGGTACATACCCAAATTCCAGACTGTCAGAAGGAAAGCAAGTGTTCAGGATAAATCATGCTATTTGTACAAACAGCTTTGGCACAGTGAGCTGGTTACTCTTACCAGTTAATGGTGGGAACCCTCCCGAAATCCAGATTCCCTGATGCCCGGGCCAACCTTGTAAGCCAGCCTTTCCAAGGACAGCAGTCAGACCTGCTATGTATTTCTTTTCTGCACAGTCTATCCCCTTGGTCCTTGTTGAAGGCACCATTACAGCAGAATTGTCATCAGCAGGATTCTATACAGCAGGCTGAGGCCAGTCTATGGTATTGACCTCACTTATGCCCTTTAGAGGTTCTGAACTTAGCCAGTTAAAACACAGACCATTAGCCATAAAGGTCTGTCTTACAAAGCCAGGTAACTTCCTCCGTAAGTTTCTCTATGAACCTTTTTTCTTTTTTTTAACCTGGCCCAAGGCATCAGTTCAGGTCCAGCCCAGCCTGGCCATGACCAGTAAGGCGAAGCTGTCCCAGAGTCTTTCAGGGCTGAGGCAGTATCACAGTAGTCAGAACTTAAGAAATATAATCCCTGAGGGCACACATGTCCCCTGGAGACAGTTTACAGTGTTGGGGAGCCCCCAGCAGGACATACATTGGTTGGCCACCACAGGGCAACCTGTCCCCTTTGTGTCTTTCCCACCAAGGGTCTTCCCGCCCCAGGGTTCTTAATCTGGCCCAAGGAATTCAGTTGGGTCCTTGTTTTCAGAGGGACTGCCTGAGGTGGCCAGTTCTTTTTACTTTTTCAATTTTTTTTTTCATTTTTATTTATTTTTGAGGAGGGGGGGGAGAGAGAGAGAGAGACAGAGCATGAGCTGGGGAGGGGCAGAGAGAGAAGGAGACACAGAATCTGAAGCAGGCTCCAGGCTCTGAGCTGTCAGTGCAGACCATGACACAGGGCCTGAACTCATGGAGTGTGAGATCATGACCTGAGCTGAAGTCAGATGCTTAACTGACTGAGCTACCCAGGCGCCCCAGTGAGGTGGCCAGTTCTAAACAGTTCTGTCAACAACACAAGTTCGTTGCCTGCTGAGTGCGGACAGCATGTGGAGGTGTTCTTTAGGGACTTTGCAGGAACTGGCCCACCCTGTGGTTCACGGTCCCACTGTCACATGCAACTTGGGCTCAGCAGTCCACTTGCAATGTGAAGCACTCACAGCAGCTGGCACAGGCAGCATGATTTTTCCTCCAGAAGAAGGGAGAGTTCTCAGGAACAGTTCTGGAAAATAGAAATCACAAATGTCCTTCCCCTCCCTGGCACCATTCCAGGTGCTAGGTTTTGTTGTTGTTGTTGTTGTTGTTGTTGTTTTTATTGTTACCAGCGTGCCCCATTCAGTAATTGAAACTTTACATTTTCTCAGTCATCGTCTATTTTTAAACTGACCTTTCATAAGGAAAGGTTGAATGTCAGAAGGACAAGAGCATTTTTACAAAAAATTTTAACTTAACCAGAAAGACACTCATGTTCAGGAACAAAATCCTGAATTTTCAAAAAAAAATTTCAAGATAGGTTTGCATCAACTGCCATCTCTGTAATCTTATTAATTTATGCAATGAATAGCCTAGAAAAAAGCAATCCCTCCTTGGGAACAGGTGCATTTAACAAATTGCCTTCCTCAAGTGTGCATAGCAGGAGAAAGGAAAGGGAGGGAAGTAGAGTCAGATTCCCAGTCCATTGTTAAAAACTTTCATCCCAGAAAGTCAAATACCAAAAATCTTGTCAGCAGGTGTTGAGTCTAATCATCAGGGCTGGGTGAAGGGGTCATACTCCCTGTGAGTACTCTGTCCCAGCTCATAGCTGTGGCAGGAATCACAAATTAGGAATATCATTAGGCTCTGCATCAGAAATTAAGAGCTGACCAGCAGTCCCATGTCAGATGGTCCCATCAGAAAACAAGCTCTTTCCCGTGAGCATTTGTCTATGATGCAGATGGTGCAGCCAGTGTCCGTGATACTTTCACAGGTTAGGCCCTATGGAGGGGTGTTCTGTATCTGTAATAGTCCCGGCTTGATTTTTAAAACTCCCTATGTATCTCTCTGTCTGGAGATTGCTCTCTTGTCATGTCTCCCTTTTTCCAGAGGCTCCATTACACAAAAGTCAGCACAAAAATAATCAGGTAGGAAGGTTTGTTCTGGTTCCAGTACTTAGAGTTTTAATTTCCAGCCAAACCACCGATGGCAAAGAACAAGGAGGTTGTGCCTCACTCCCGCTTGAGGGAGAAAACAAAAACCAAAGGCATCACCTGGGTTGTATTTTTCCCCTTACTTCCCCTTACTTTAGCCAGTGTGGCGAAAAGCAGCCAGGGGATCCAGCAAGCCAGCTCTTGGAGTTGGATGGGTTATCTTCAAATAGCATAGGTATTTTACCTCTTGCAACACACAACAGCTTGGCTTCTGTGTGATATGGTAGCTGACTCCATAGCCACCAGGCATCAGAAGGTCACCATCCTCCATCCCTTCAGCCTTTGTTTTTCAAACACCACTTTTACCATATGTCAATGAATCAGGGTCAAGCTCACAGTTCCTGCTTCTCGCATCAATTGTATCAGCGTCTCCAAGACCAGCCCCAGGTTTTGTGATTGCTAGGACTCAGCATAT